TACTATTATATTATATATATTATAATATTATTATATATTATATTATAATATATAATTATGTTATAATATATTACATATCATTATAGAATATTAAATAAATATATTATAATTCATAACTATATTATAAATAAAATTGTATTATATCATATTATTATATTATTATATTATTATAATTATAGGAATGGTCTCGAATCTAGTACCGGATTGGAGCGACACATGTATATTTCTTTTAAAAATATGTATTTATACTATTAAAATATATATATTTCCTCCTAAAATATGTATAATGTAAAGAGACACCTATAATTTGTATAAACACTCATATACATGTTTTTAGAGGAAATATATATATATTTTAAGAGAAAATTTATATGTTTTTAAAAAAAATATGCATGTACCGCCCCAATCTGATACCGATTGAAAACTTTACCTATAATTATATTATATTATAATATTTTTATTATATATTATATTATGTTACATATTATAAGATATAACTATTATCTAATATATTGTAATTATATTATAATATTAAAGGATAATTATAGAAAAAAATGAAAAAAAAACCTTAAAATGACTATTTTCTTGTCTGAATGTTAATTAATTCAAAATAAATAAATGACCATTTTTTTTAAAATAATTATTATTTTTTTATAAATCTAATTAAACATCAAATTTAGCTCTGCAGAAAGAGAAGAAAATCCACATGGTAGCTCTGCAGAACCGAACGGAATTTTATTTATTTATTTATTTTTTAGTTTTATGAAAGGATACTGAACCGGACGGAATCTGATTTACTGCACGGAAGAATACGGGACGTAAGCCGCGCTCACTCCCTGCGTGGTTCTCTCTTGATGCAGAGCAAAACATTTATGGCAGAGCAGGTCAACGGTCAAAATGGCAAAACCACCACTTCATTGTCGTCATCGTCGTCGTCACCCAAACCCTAGATTCACAGCCCCTCAATACTCAGAATCCCACCAATGGACATTGTGTGGTGGCCACTGTTTTCTCTGATCCTGGTCTCCGCCCTAATCATTCACGAGGAGTGGGTCTCAACGCCCTTATGCGACACCCTATTACCAACCACCTCCAACATCGACGAATCTGAATCGGAATCCATGGAAGATCACCCTCAGGATCTCAAGGTCATGATGGTCGCCGATCTTCTCCTCTTGGGTTCCGATTCCGGTTATCTCAATCGCATTTTCAGAGACTATTACACCTCCAAATTCTTTAGGGTAATTCGAATTTCTCACTTATGTTCTTGTTTGTTTCTCGATTGCAATCTGCTTCTTCTTCGTTCAAGAGGCTGAATTTGAGCGATGAATTTTGGTTGAAGTAGAAGTCGTTTCAGAGCTTGGAGCCCGATATGCTTGTGGTATTGGGAGATGTCTCGGCGAGAGGCGCGGAATTAACCAAATCGAAGTGGCTATCGGTGATCCACCAATTCCATGGCGTTCTCGGTCCGTTCCTAGGGCTTCCTCTCCACGTCGTTTTGGGAGACAGAGACGTCGGGCGGTGCAGCGAGCTGAGCGCGAAATCGGTCAATTGGATCGCCGGGAGATTCCCGGGGCTCGACTCGACGGGTTGTGGATCGTTCGAGATCGGCAATGTCAGCTTCGTGTCGCTCAACGCCGTGGCTCTGCTCTGCGGAAACAACGACTTGAGGTTCGGCGTCGAGAAGGTTATAGAGAGGGAAAGTTCGGATTTGAGTGCGGAAAGTGAAGCCGATCGCAATGGAGAGAGTTTTGGCGGGTTTGGGTGGAGAGAGAATGGCGTTTCTTCTGGGTCTGGTCCGGTCGTTTTGCTTCATTTTCCATTGCGCCAAATACCGCCTGCAAACTTCGTTGGTGAATCGAATGTGATTGATGGCAGGTTGGTGAAGTTCTCTTGATTTTCTTGTAAAGTTCTTTGATAAGTATTCTCTGATACATTCGATGAATGTTGATGAAGTTGGGATGAACTTTTGTTCTTAGGGGATTTGTTGGTGCTGGTCCGTACACATTGATGCAAAATCTCCCGGCAAATGCTACTGAATACATCTTTCAAGCTCTTAAACCAAGGTAGGACTATTACGCTTTTGAGTTCCTGCAACAGTTGATTTGCTTGTATGAACTTGACCCTTCTATTTGTTTACTGTCCACTCGTTTCTCATACTGATTATTCTTGCTATGCTACCTTTTCTGATATTATTGATTTTGTTATATCATTAATACGCATCCCCTCTAAATGCCTGCAATAGTTTGATCATGTCGCACCCCAATGCTTCATCAGGCAGTAGATGGTGGTAACAAAATACCTGAACCGTTGAAATCTTTTAGCAGACTATATTTGAACGGTTCAAGTCGATTTTTTTCATTACCTAACGCCTCATAAATTGGTTGTATGTTATTGCAAAAAAAAGTTCTGGTGTGATGATATGGCCTTCATTGTCCTTACAAAAAGCTAGTAGTAGATAAGCTGGTCACAGTATTTGCAAAAACTTCTATGTTGAATGAGTTCATAAACTGCAATGCTCTTTTTATGATACACGCTCTGACCTGTATTGTTGTCACTTAATCTGCAAGCTGATTGGTTGTGCTTCTTTCTTTTGGTTGCAGAATTATTTTCACTGCACACAGTTATGAATTTTCTGCTTATACTCATCCGGATAGGACCTATGAAGTGACTGTTCCGGCCATGACATGGAATGCGAGAGATGACCCTGGATTTATTGTTGCCATTTTCAGGAGGAACAAAAGAGCAGTAAGTATCATCTATTGCGCTCTTGCTAGGGAATCTCGGGTTCTTGGAGCCTATATCTCAGTTCTGATTCTATTAGCCTCAACTTTTGTTTTAGTGAAGATGCATCATTTGATACATTCAAGACGGTGATAGAAATAATTCTTTGTCACCCTATGTACAATATAACGCGCTTTAGAAAACTTTTTGTTTGATCACCAATGCATTACAGTGTTCCTTAACATGAAACTTTTTTGTTCCATAGAACATCACCAGAATTTTTGTGTATTCTCACCAATGTTTTAGAGGCGTATATAAGAGAAGATAATATTTTGATTATATCCTTGGCAATTTGATACTCGATAGTGTTTTATCTTGATGAAATAAGAAAAGTCGCCTTTTTATTTTGTTTTCTAAAGAAAAGATAAAAGAAAGGACTAGAGACTTCTTAATTGCTTGCTAAATGGTACCAAAGGACATGTCTGCTTTCACAGGTAAATCTTTCAGCCGAAAAGAAAGCATAAGTGCTTCAACCTCAAATCTATTTTGAACCTGATAAACTCAGATGGGTGAATGGAGAAAACCTTGAAAGAGTTAAAACCAGAGAGGAGTAAAAAACAAGGCGCAGCAAATTCAAGCAATCTAGGACGAAAGCACAGAAAGCTATGGGTCCATGAGGCTCAATTATAGTGTTATTTCTTTCCTTGCAAGAATGAATCTAATCACTCCTGGCACTTCTTGTGGGGTTAGTGCACATTGTTAGGAGGCACTAAAAGTCAATGCTTTCGTGCTGGAATTGAATTGTACTAGATCTTTTTTAAGGTTTGTAACCGCTGAGTTGATCAAATTATAACTCAACTTATAGTCTCCTTGCTTGGCGTTTAATTTATTAGTCAAAAGATGCATCTGCTAAATCAAATTGCAGAGTTTTCTTGAAAAATAAAAATTAAAATGAGGAGAGTTTATTCAGTTTCTACTTTCAAACCACATTGCTCAACTGCTATTGATATTTCTTTACGTTAATGGCTTCTTATAGATTTCCTTAAAGCCTCGAGGAAGCAATTTTGCGTAATTAGAGGGAGGAGTGAAGTTAGAAGCCCGTAAATAGTAGGCACATGCATCATCTTAGTTTAGCTCATGTTTATAGAGAAAACGTTCAAATTGCTCATGTTTACGCAACTATTATTTTACTTTTGATTTCCAACCTTCAAGTCTACCCAATTATTCAAACTTGGGTACTTGAGAGTTGAGATTACACCAAGGATAATGAAAGCAAAAAAGTAGGCTTCTTTAAGCTCACAATTTCTCATAGCAAGTTGACCGTAATTAATGAGTCAAACCTGCAATCAAAATACAACATCAATAGGGTACTCCTCATCTCCCACAAACAAGACATGAGACCCTTCTTCTAAAACCATCAAGCCATCCTCGTTGGCGCCACTGAAGTGCTCACAAGGGCTCAATGTGAACTCAACTTTGGTTACTTCACCAGCATTCATGTCCACACTCTGAAACTCAACCAACTGCTTTATCGGACTTCCATTTTTGAACTCCTTCCTCCGGATGAAAAGCAAGACGGAGTGCTTACCAGCCATCTCACCTTCATTCTTAACATGGACGGAAACCGAAAACGACTTGCTTTGACAGAATTCTTTACGAAACTCCGAAACCAAGTGGTAGCGCGCAGAGTCTGAAGACTTAGCCGTGTGACCAGTTGATGATAGGTTCAAATACAGCTTGTTTCGAGTGTCGGAAAATAATTTGTAAGAATAAGTGGAGTAACTGAGACCATAACCGAATTCAAAAACCTTGGGTCCTTTGTAGAACCGATAAGTACGCCCGGGATAGCCTGATGATGGTTCAGGCCTCATCCTCATGTCTGTCATTGGTACTTTTATGAAATCTCGTGGATACCAAGTCACTGGCAATCTCCCCCCTGCGTAACCAAAAGATAATTTATCTTGTTCTGCATTACAGCATGCAACTATGCAAGCGTGCAAGTTTTAACATTTTAAAGAGATATTTAGTTGATTATTATATGAACCACATTTACACAATTATTTTTTATTGGTTGAAAATTCAATTATTCTTTTTGTTTTTAAATCAGACATTCATATAAGATAAATCATCAACATAATAATTTTTTACTGCTTAAAAAATGACGGGGATAGGGGTGCCTTTGAATCTCCGGCTTCTTGCACCTTACTTCAATGAAAAAGTTTTTACAATCTTTTACTTAATTTGCTCCCTAAAATTTTCCAAATGCAATATCTGTATAGTTTTTTTTTCTAAATTTCAATTATATTCTAAATTTTAATTGTACTCATATTTAGAATTTAAAATCCTAAGTAAATAATATATATATTTAATAATATTTATATCATGGGCACGAAAATTTTCTTTTGGCTTTCTCATTAGTGGCGATACTAATAATTGGTTAAAACAAAACTTCACATATTTGAATGGAATAAAGGGTTATACACTTAAAATTTGTGACGTTAAAAAAATTACAAATGGTATTTACTTTTTTCTTTAGGGCAGAATGGTATTTACCACTGGTTAAACAAAAATTCACGTGTACTATAATTATTGCTTATAATTGTAAACCTTGTTTATCTACCGAATATAATTTTTAAAGTTTTTATTAGCTGACCTGGGTTATGATCACCGAAGATAATTTCAGCAAGAGCAAGTCCTCCAGCTTCCCCCGGGTACCCAGCCCACAAGATGCTCCCCACGTGGCGATCATACTTTGCAAACGACACATCAACCGGACCCCCAGAGAGCAACACCAGAACAGCCGGTCTCTTTGCAGCTCTGGCAACGGCTGTAATCAGCTGCTGCTGCTTACCAGGGAGCGCCAGGTGGTCTCGATCGTGATCCTCTCTCTCCTGCGACAGATCCAATCCCATCACCATCACCACGTAATCCACACCCTTCGCTATCTTCACCGCCTTGTCAATCTCAGCCGACGTGCAATTCACCGCATTGCACCCCTGGTGAATGGTAAGAAAAATATAATATAAATTAGAATTATTATAATTAATAGTTATTACGTAATTTTGTGGTATAAAACGTGAAATAGTTATAAGATAATTAGTATGTATTATTATTATTATTATTCTTTTTTGTTCTTAAGATGAGTTGCTATATTTTAATTCCATCTTTATAAGCACGTCATGTAGTGTAATTTTCACCAGGTGGTAAACGGCGTTCTTGACGTAGCCGTTGAGAGCCTGTAACGGCGTAACGCGCTTGCACGGTGGGCCGAAGTAGTTCCCTTGGAGCGTCTTGGGGGAGTTGGCATTTGGGCCTATGACGGCGAGTGAAATGGACTTGGACTTTGGGAGTGGGAGGAGTTTGGCGGAGTTTTTCAGCAAGACGATGCCGTTTCGAGCTGCTTCAAGGGCGAGAGCTTGGTGCTCTAGTGAGCAGACTTGGTTTGGGCCTATATTGCCGAATCGGTTCTTAGTTGGGTTGCCGTCGAGAAGGCCCAATCTCATCCTGACGGCGAAGAGGTTGTGGAGGGCTCGGTCTATTTGGGCGACGGGTAGTTTCCTCTCCTGCACTGCTTTTTTGGTGTAGTTTTGCAAGTAGGACCCACAATTGACGTCCATTCCTGATAATTAATTACAGGAAAAAAAATTAGTAACAAATGAGTGAGCGTTCAACTAGATTTTAACTTGGGTCTTAGATTCACGTAATTGATAATTGATTAAGGGGGGTTTTTTTTTTTTTTTTTTTTTGGTAGAACATGTTTTAAGGATTTCACTTAAGCTAATATCTCTTGCAGTTTCACTAATTTCTTTTACTAAAATTTATATATATCTTTTTTGTCCAAGTCGATCAGTCGAACTGCCAAACAAAAAGAAAACTGGAGCACGCCTAAGAAGTACGGATGTGTCGGTGGATGATAGTGAGTTCTTTTTGAGCGAATTTGGACAAAAAAAGTCCATCTTTAGTGGGGCCATTAAGCCAGGCGTGGATGAGGGAGTGTCATGGTCATAATCTCGACTTTCGAGCGAAGAAGCTCAGGAGAGCCAGTCATCCAAGTACAAATCAATCTAATATATGTGTTTTTTGTCTTCTATTTCTTAAACAAAATTGTGTGTTGTTTTGCTTCTATTGCGTTTTAACAAGAAAAAGCAAAATTTGCTCTTAATCTTAAGGAAAATAATAATAATAAAACGTGTGTGGAGTTCTATTTTCAAGGCGAGATAAAAAAAAATTGAAAAAAAAAAGATAAAACACATATAGAATGGTCCCACAATACCGGCTTTTAGAACGTCGGCGACAGCATCTTCGGGTGACTTGGCAAATCCTTGGGCGTCGTAGATAATGGAAACGGCGTCGCAATCCGAGGTGATATACCTGATATTGAGTTAAAGTGAGAAGCTTCGCCATTCGGCTATTTATTTAATTTTGGCATGAAAAAGAAGTTCTAGCTATCCATATCATTTTTCAAAAGGGAATAATAAATATATATATAGTTTACCCATGGAAGCCCCACTTTCCTCTGGCAGTTTTGGATAAGAGGTTGAAATCAGCGCAATTGGGGACCCCATTGACTCGATTGTAAGCACACATTATGCCGCTGGCTTTCCCTTGTTGTATGCAACTCTGGAACGGTGGCTGGTACGTGTCTGCTAGGTCTTGTTGCGTCACCTTAAATTAACAGCTCAAAATGTCATAATAATGAAACGAAAACGACATATGCAAAGACTGTTTTCATGTTCAAACCGGATAATAAGGAAAATTTGAAAAATAATTATTTGAAACAAGCGCAAAATCAAGGTCTTAACAAAACATAGCCATTGGTCCGCTCTTTATCCTTTGTCTCTTATTATTTAAAACTGTCTTGGATGACCGTAAGAAACTACATGAATCACGTAAAATATCAAAGAGACCATTCTACTTTAAAAAAAAAAAAAAAGAAGAAGACACCTTTAAAGCCTAGAAGAAATTGGGATACCTTATATCACGGCAATATTAGACCTATAAACAAGTAGCAATAAAGTGCATCCGTCAGTGTAATTCTTACCCTAGCAAAATACAAAATCTGGCACTTGAGGAATCTTTGAACTAATTGGTTTCAAATGATCATATAGAAAGACAAGTATCCAAGAAAAAGTTGTAGCCAATTGAGGCAAACGGAAAGCGAAAGAATGTATTTAAGTAGATATACTCACATGAGCATCAAACTTGAACCTATTAATGCCCTTCCAATTGTCCAAATCATAAGCAGTAAAATGCTTGCAACAAGCGGAAGCCAAAAGATGACCACCACCTGATCCCTCAAAGGAGTGCCCTTGAACACCTCTTACATAGGCCACCGCGTACTTCCCGGTCACCACGGGATCCTCCCCTGGCGTCTCCTGTCCTCTCCCCCATCTCGGATCCCTAAATATGTTAATATTTGGAGCCCAAAATGTCATTCCCTTCGTCTCTCCAGCATTGTACACTGCTCTTGCTTCAGTTCCAATCACCTAAAACCATAAACAAGAATAAACATATTGACGCAACAAAAAAAATGCTAAATATCAGTACTAATGGCAATTAAAGTAGTACCGCTAGTATCAAACAATTAGGCCTGTTAATCAACGGCTATTATGTTTGTGTGACGTGTAAAATACACGAGCGAAAGAGAGTGTGCTTGGACGGAGAATTCGTATCATAATTCGAATCATAGTTCGTAATTCTCTACGGTATTTTTTTTTTTAAATACACTGAAAATAATTATAAATCATGAATTAAATGTCCACTTATTGATTTTAATTCTACGATTTGAAACAAACTATTTATAAAACAGTGTTTGGATACACATGATTTGGCGTTAGATTGGTTTAAAAAAATCATAACTTAAATAATTTTTTTCAGACTTTATTCGAATTAAAAAAAAAAAAAAAATTTAACCGATCCAAACAGACAAGTCACGGGAAATTAACCAATGAATCAATGATAGATCTGGGCTGTTTTTTCATACGTGGGCCTGATGCGTGCTGGGCATCCCTGAACTGTTTCTTACCTCAATAAATACAAAACGTAAAGCTGTACATAAATAAACAAGTTTAAACACTGTTAGCGAGTTGAGTTTCAGTGACTAGGTGGCATAACTAAACTGACCTGGCCAATGCGATACCAGAGGCGGACGTCGAAGGAGGCGGCGGTGAGGATGACCTGAGGGAAGCTGGTAGCGGATGAAATGGGTCCGTTTACGAAGTGGACTCCGTAGCCGGCGTCGGCGACGCCGTGCAAGGCTTCGGACCACCACTCGTAAGCGGGAATGCCAGAGGCGGGGAATCGCAGGGGCAGTGTTAACGAGCTGCGAGATCTTTTCCTCCAATGTCAGCCGAGACACCAGGTCCTTCACTCTGTTGCCTCCTTTTTGCAGAAGGGGAACGATTTGGTCGACGGGTTCGACGAGTCGCAGCCGAACGGAGGCTGAGTTGACTCGCCGCTTGGGATAAAGAGAAGGATTGTTAGGAGGAAGAATATTGTCGGAAAGTTGGTGGGAGTGAGACTGCGGAGCTTCATTTCTCCAGATGGAGGATGAATGAACTTCTTCTATCCAAAAAAGGTTACCGAGACTACCATTATATGTTGCATCAATGTCTGTATTTTTGACAATAATGCCCCTGTATTTTTTTTTCCCGAAAAAAAAATGCCAATTCTTGTTTGAGAAAATTGCTGAATTTATTTTAGAGTCCAAGAATTTGATTAATACTCTTTAAGAATAAGTTTACCTTTTTCTTAAGAAAAAATATTACTTGGGTACTAAGCCCTTCTTAATTTCTTCAATAATTGCGGTACTGAGTTTTGGTTTTGAGACAGTACATGGCCCAGTAAAACGCCTTTGTATTGACCAATTGGGTGGATTTATGGGAATCTTAAACCCTGTACAATTATTATATATATGGTTAATCAATATGTTATTTGTTATTTTCTGTTGCTTGCAGAATTTAAGGCTTTTTTTTTTTCTTTTTGCTAATAAGCGGAAAAAAAAAAAGATCAAGTTGGCGGTTTACTAGCGAGGAAAGAAAGGAGTTGAAGGGTAACAAAAATGTTATTCTTTCGGGAACCTTTATAGTAGAGTAAGTTATTTTACTCTATTAGGCGGGATTGTATTTTTATTGTGTGATTAATTTTTTTATTAATAAACGTTTGGTTCATGAATTATAATTATGTTATTAGAATTATTTTTTATTTACGTGTATTTTTTATGAGAAAAAATACTGTAGCGAATCATGAACCATAATTCAAATCATAGTTTGAATCCTCCAACCAAACATCTTCTAAATTTGCAGTTAGATTAATTTTGTGTGGCGCGTTATAAATTTTTTAATAAAAAAAGATAAATACTTCTTAATAGTGATTGAGTCAAAGATTAATCGGTAGGGGGTCAATTTTTTTTATCAAGATTATACGATGTTTATAAACTTAATAAAATTAATTATTTCATTTTTTAAAATCTAAATAATTTGCTCAGTAAAATATAGAGAACTATTAATTTATAAGAGGTAAAGTTTAATTTATACACATATCTATTATATTAAAGTTAAACTACCTTATTAAAAAAAAGAAAAAAAAAAGCTAGGGAGGGCTCCCCCCCTCCCCGGCTCTGTCATTACCTCTTAAAATGTATGGGTCGTAGATTTTTTCCCCTTATACTTGATTAATACCCTTTAATCAAAGAATTATATTAGTCAAAAGAGTATTAACCAATAAAAAAGAGTAAAATTCTTATAACAAGGCATTCAAAGGATGAGTTTACCAGTTTTCTTAAATTTTTAATATGAACTTACACATATATGACCGTTAAAAAACTAATTCCCCACCAGTGGAGCAAAAAGATTGCTTATTCTTTAAAGTTGGGATTTTTTTTAACTTCCCTCAATTTAGTAGGTAATTATAAACACATTTATGATGATGAACTTTACTAATGGTTTTTACAATTTTCTCGGATGTTTGGTTTATGGATTCAAGATCATGATTTAAAATTATTCTCGTTTTACGTGTATTTTTTATGAAAAAAAAATACTATTAAAAATCATAAATCATAATTTTAAATCATAGACGAATATAAAAAATAAACATCCTATTCGCTTTATCTTTTTCCTTCCGTCTACACTCTCTTTATTATTCAGATAATGACAAGCATGATAGAAATTCTTCTTTTTGCCTATTTTATGATATTGATTATCTTTTTTGTTTTAATGATTTTGTTTTTCTCTTTTGGCAACCTAGTAAAGGAAAACGAATAAGAAAGTCATCACGTGGAAATTTTATGTATTAATTTCTGGAGACAAATTAAATTGAAGTGTCACGTGCACTATAAACTAAGAAAACTGCGGTTAACGATGTAGCTCAATGAAGACAGGATTTATCTTCTTTTTTTTTTTTTTTTTTTTTTTGGCTGAAAATGAAGATATTTGAGACTACAGCCGACAGCACCTCTCTTCCTTGGTGAAACATAATCTAAAATATGATTTGATATCACAGTTTCTCGTGACAGATTCACTTCAACTAATGGAAAGATATATATGCCTCATAAATAATTATTAATTATAAAAGAATAAAAAGATAAATATCTCTTTAGGGAAAAAAAAAGATAAACTTAAAATATGGAGTTTTCATTATTGTGAATTATTACTTTTTGGGTATTTGTTGGAAGTTAACTTGCTTGGAGCGATCAGCAAAGATTGAGGATGTAGTTGTATAAAGCCAAGCACTTGCTTTTGGTCTAAACATATATCAACCGAAGCTAGGGCAGTTTGGTTTGGACTAATTGTGATTTTTTAGGAGATATATGAAATTGTAATCTCATAAAATAAAATAAAAAAGATTATATGTATGAAATTGTAAGTACCGCTTGTAAGTATAAGTAAGCAACTATAGGTATGTTCTTTTGTCCAAAAAAACTCAAAAAAAGACAACTCGGGTTCTGACTTTATTCAAGTTTATGTTCTTTTAAGTTTTAACTTTATTTAACTTTACTCAACTTTATTCAAGTTACAACTTCAACTCAAATTATAACTCAAATTTAACTCAAAAATTACACTCAAGTTACATTCCAAAAACAACAATCCATTCCATGACTATTTCGTTGCATTCAGCAATCAAGAAACGAAACTATAAAGTTGTTTGGGCCTAAAGAGAGGAATGCAGTGGAGTTACAAAGTACAAACAAGCGCAGACTTGGACTGGGGCCACTAGGGAAGCTGTAAGACCTTTTGGGCTCCTAAAACAAAAATGCTACAAGTCCAGGACTCATCTTGCTTTGTGGCATAACAAAAAAGTTGCTGATTTACACTTGACGTCCCCTGTATTTTGTTAAAATAACATTGACCCTTTTTTTTTTTTTATCAAAATTAGTCACGTAACCCCTCTTGACATTTCAAAAAAAAAAAAAAAAATTTACACAGAGCGCCCCTCTATGTACCTGAAAACGATTTTAAGCAATATATAATGTTGAAAATGTCGACTTTACCCTTGTTTAACACTATAAAATGAGTTTAATTGAATTTTACACACTTTAACATTAAATTTTGACTCTAAGGAAGATTTTTTATTTTTAAATGAAGAAAAAATGTATTTTTTATTCTTCCTTTGTTTATCAAAAATTCCATCTTAATGTCATTAAGAAAAATCCTTCTTAATGTCATTAAGAAAAATCCTTCTTAATGACAATATTATTGGATAATTTATACCTGTTAAATTTGAAAATGATAGAGATGTTCTACAACCAATTAAGTGGGATACATAAAAACAAATATAACCAAACATGAACATAATAATTATATAGTCGAATATAAAACAAAATATCAATATGAAAATTACGTAATCTAAAATGAAAGGATAAAGCTTAGATAGTAAAAAATAAGTCCATAAGTAATAATATAAAGATAACAAATTATATGGACGGCAGAGATCAATTATTTACGAATTAATAACTGAAATTATAAGGAGTGTTTTTAACATTTCTCATCTAAATTTAACGAGTTTAGAATATGGGTGTTGATGTTAGTAATTTCAGTCAAAAAAATGTCAGTGTTATTTAAAAAAAAAACAAAAACAAAAAAACAAAACACATGAGCTGTCAATGTAAATTGCTCTAAAAAAGTTTTCCATATGCCTCCGTAATTTTTTTTTTTTAAATACCAAATTTATCTTTAATAGTGTCATATTGATATACCGGCAGTATATCCTACCATAATACTTGGAGATATTAGTCGTGATACTATAAATTTTGACAACCGTTCCTACGAAGATACTTTGATTGTTGACTGAAGATCCACTACTATCTTACGATCATACTTTGCGGTATCCAGTTCAAGACGACTTGTATCTTGCCGTATAATTGGAAGCAATCCACAATGGTACTAACCAGCAGCAATCAACAACCGTGGCTTGTGATATTAGTCTCCAACCATAATACTCAACCAAAAAACACAATTTCAATTTAAAAAAAAAAAAAAAAAAAAAAACTTTTTTTAGTGCGCTAACATACCAATAAGTTAAGTTTTTTATCCGTCGAATCTGTCTTAAAATCACGTAAAAGTAAAAAATACGTAGATCTAACGGTTAAAAAAATCTAACATACCGGTACGTCAGGCGTATCAGAAAATCTCTAAAAAAAAAAACTCTAAAATGAAAAATCTTGAAATTTTTTTAAAGAAATATTCTCCGGTGCTGTAGGCTAAGTTTTCTGTACGTCGGATCTGCATAAAATTACGTAAAAGTTAAAAGATATACATATCTAACGGTTAAAAAAACTTAATCTACTAGCACACTAAACATATCAGATAATCTCTCTTATTTAAATATTATATAAATTGTACAAAAAAGTTTTTTTAAAAAAAGCAAGATATTTGAGAAAGACAAAAAAAAAATCACAAATTTTAAAAAATGGGTGACCGAATCTCACCAGCTTGGATCTTGGCAGCGTCATGGGGAAACAACACCGCCAAGATCTGAAATAATGTACTGCGTTTTAATTTTGGATTTATTATTGATGTATGCACTATTTATAAATAAAGGAAGAGTAATAAATTGTAATTTAGCTCCAAAAGAATTCGAGATTATACATACATCCACTCCAAAAGAATTTGAAGGAGGGGGGCTATAAAAGCCTTGCCATGACAACACTGTTCACATTGCATCAATACGGCGATAAGCTTGTTGAGCTTCATTGCCTGTCACGAGATAATCTAGAGATCGAGCCTGGCAACTACATTGCCATGGAAAGGGAGGCAATTCAAATTAAAATAAAAAATAAAAAGAAGAAAGAAACCAAAGATCTTAAAATTGCCATTTACCCTGAAATTTAGCTCAATTTCTTTAATAAATAATTTTAAAAAAGCCGTCAAACTGGTCACGTGCCTCGTTCACTTTTGGAATTTGTCCAGTTTATAAATTCATGACGGTCTAAAAGTATAAAATCTTTACCCTAGCTAAAAAAAAAGAGAGTTTTTCTTAAGATAATTTTATCAGTAATGTCAGTTTAATGAGTTTATAATTGTTAAATTTAATTAAAATTACATTATATTAAAAAAATATGCAGAATAGATAGATTTT